AGACAAAGGAGGGTTGCGATTGCATTTTGAAATCTCTGCTTGCCAGTGCATCAAGTTAATAGCCGAAGTGAGGCTCACAACAGGTTTTAGGCAAAACAAATCCAAGCATAACTTAAGGGGTCAGCCCAATGGTCCAGCTAGCTCAGTATCCCATCTTCTGACAATGGCTGGCGCCAGATGTTTCCGAAGCACTGGCAGACCAGGGCAATTAGTGAGTGATCCATCTCCTGTTGTCCAGTCCCACCATCTGGCAGTCAGCGGTTTAGGGGCACCCAGATCGTGGGGTTGCGTCCCTGACCATCTTGGCTAATAGCCATTGATGGACCGATCCTCCATGAACTTATCTAATTATTTTTAAACCCAATTATACGTCTGGCCTTCACAACATCCTCTGGCAATGAGTTCCACAGGTTGACTGTGCGTTGTGTGAAGAAATACTGCCTTTTGTTTGTTTTAAACCTGCTGTCTATTCATTTCATTGGATGATTCCTGGTTCTTGTGTTATGTAAAGGAGTAAATCATTCCTTATTCACTTTCCCCACACCATTTAAGATTTTATAGACGGCCCTCATATCCCTCCTCCCTTGTCTCTGGCTAAGCTGAACAGTCCCAGTCTTTTGAAATCTCTCTTCTTATGGAAGCCGTTCCACACTCCTCATCATTTTTGTTGACTTTCTCTGTACCTTTTCCCGTTCTCATATATCTTTTTGGCGAGGGGGTGACCAGAACTGCACATAGTATTCAAGCTGTGAGGGTATCATGGATTTATAGAGTTGCATTATATTTTTTGTCTTATTATCTGTCCCTTTCCTAACGATTCCAAATATTGTGTTAGCTTTTTTAAACTACTACTGGACACAGAGCAGATGGTTGCAGAAACCTCTCTACAATAACTCTAAGACCTCTTTCTTGAGGGGTAACAGCTAATTTAGACCCTCTCATGTTAGCTATAGAGTCAGGAATGTTTTTCAGTATTTATTATTTCTAGATTCATTTTTTTCACTGTACATTATTGAGCCCCTCCTTTAAAACATTCCTATTATTAAAATAAAACTACAAAACAAGCCCCCTAATACACCATTAGTTGGGTTTCGCTATCAAACATGGGCCCACTCATTCCCAGGTTAGGGTGGGCCTTTTTCACCATTCACCAGTTCTCACGTGTTCTCACGCTTGCTGCCACATTCGTATCCTTGCAGTCACATGGCGAAGGTGACAAAGATCGTGAGTGTGGAACACAAGGAAAGCCACGATTGTGCAGCTTTGGGTGCTCGGAGGAGATGCAAATATGGAGATCCTCGGAGATACATGCAAATTACACCTGCTAACAGGGCAGGAGCACCATCCTTTTCCCCGTTCCCTCATGGGGGAGCTAGAGAATGGTGCATGCAAATTAGCCCAGCGGCAAGTAGGAAGGTGGCCTCCACCCTCCATTTCACCTCCAGAGGGAGCCAAAGAGCTGCTCGTCCCACAGGCTGACTCAGCCATTTTTGCTATAGGCAACATCCCTGCTACTTGCCCATTTGCACTTCTGTGAGCAATGGAGGTGGTGGACATATTTACAAGGAGCAGCCTCACTGTAGCCTGCAAGGGACCTAAGCAGATGGCGGCCATTATAACTCAGTGCAACTTGTAGCATCACTAACATCAAGAATACTAAGGACTGTGGCCATTCTGAGTGAGGGCATAGTGTCTTCAGTGTCCTTGTGAACAATGGGATGTGGTGGCCATCTTTGCTAGGGGCAGCCTCACTTCTACTAGCAAGGACTGTAGGCAAATAGCAGGCATCGTAATTCGGGACAGCTTGTGGCTTCAATTGCACTGAGAACAATGAGAGATGGTGGCCATCTTCAGTCAGGGCAACATGTGCCTTCATCCTATGTGGAAGGATGTGAGATGGCAGCCATCTTAACTGAGAGCAAAGTGTGGCATCAGCCTTCTTCCCAGTTTAGATCCTCCTGTCCATGCCCCCATGTTTCCCTACCACCCTAGTGTCCTTCCCTGGTCAGCCATATCCCTCTGGGCCCACACTGCCCTTCTGAGAACACAAAGGATGCCCACCTTCCCTGAAGGCAGCCTGGCTTCAGTCCCATTGAAAACAATGGATAATGGTAGCCATCTTTACTAGGGGCAGCCTCAGAGCCATCTAGAAGGGCTGTAAGCCAATGGCAGTCATCATAATTGAGGGCAGCCTGTAGCTTCAGTCTCATTGAGAACAATGGGAGGCAGCTGCTATATTTATAAAGGGCAACCCCATATGAGGTGAACTGGACGCAGCAGCCATCCTAACCGAGGGCAGCCTGTGGCTTCACTTTCATTGGGAACAACAGTGGATGGCAGCCATTTTGGAAAGGGGCCAAACTTGGCGAGTTAGCTCCTAACGACCCCTGTGTGCAGCTGGAGCATGTTCCTGCCCCTGCCCGGTATGAAACGCTGGGGGGGGGGGGGAGGTGTTGAAATTCTCCCCAAGAGCCCCGTGGGGATAGGGAGGAGAGCAGGAAGCAGTGGCCCCTGCAATGACCCCATGGAGCAGAACTTCTTCTGCATCAGCACAGAGCCACCCCAGGTGGAGGGGATGTTGCCAGCCTGGTGCTGTGGCTTCTTGGCATCGCTGCTCAGTGAGCATCAATGAGGTGAGAGGACAGCAGCCCTAAAGGGGAAAGGCCCCATGTCCCCCCATCCCTCTGAGCCAGCCAGTCCTCTCCCTCTGGGGCTGGATCAGAACTAGCGTTCCCTAAAGGGGAAAGGCCTCATGTCCCATTCCCTTTTTAAAGTGACTATGGGATCTTCTGGCCTCCTTGAGGGGCAGACAGCTTTGAGGAGCTCCCATCCCCTGAGGTCCCCAGAACCCATGTGCTGTGGGGCAGGCCCAGACTCAAGCCTAGTTTGTGGTTGTTTGGGCCTTTTCAGTGGGACAATGACATCTGCATTTCCTCCTCCAGCCGAGACCGACAGAACCACTGAATGCTCAAGGGGGAAGGAACATGAGGAAGAGGAGAACTGAGCCCCATGGAGGAAGCCAGGACCTGTAGTATCAAATCCCAGATGCCTTCTACCAGCTGAGCAAAGGGAGTAATTCCCCGAGCTGGGAGTCAGTAGGCAGCTGCTGTAGTAATTCCATCTGGCCACTAGATGGAGACATGATCCTATTCACTTAGCATTGGTTACCTCTCCAGGCATGGTTCCTTGCAGTATGTCATTCAGCCATTAGATGTCACTGTGTGCAGCATATAGCTTCAGCCAATGTGGTGTCCCTGGTAAACAAGGGAGACCATGCTGGAACGCAAGCTGTGTAGGGTGACCAGACAGCAAATGTGAAAAATCGGGATGGGTGTGGGAGGTAATAGGAGCCTATATAAGAAAAAGACCCAAAAATCGGGACTGTCCCTATAAGATCGGGACATCTGGCCACCCTAAAGCTGTGCCTGTCTGGGTCAGTAGCTGCTTTCTTTAATAAATGCCTCCTGTTGTTATTTATTATGTGTGTCACCAAGCGAGATGGTTTACCCACTGTGCTAGGCTGTGTCCCGCTGCAGTGAAAGACATGCCCTGCCCGCACAAGCTTCCCATTGAAATAGATAAAGGATTATTATCCGCACTGTACAGAAGGGGAAAACGAGGCACAGAAAGATGAAGTGACTTGCCCAAGGTTACACTGGGAGGCTGTGGCAGAACTGGGAACGGAACCCAGGTTTCCAGGGTCTTGTTTGGCTTCAGATCCACATTCTGGAAGATTTGCTGTACTCATACCCAAGTTATTGGGCTCAGAGCCTTCCTCCGCAGCATGGGGCAGGGATCGCTAGCAGGAGGGTCCTCTGCCAATTGAAGTCACTAAGCCACAGGATTTGGGGACTTCAACAGCAGAGTCAAGGGAAGGGGTAGGGACGGCTTTGTGGCCTGCAGCATGCAGGGGGTCAGACCAGATGATCATAATGGTCCCTTCTGACCTTAAAGTCTATGAGTTTATGAGACTGGTGAAATATAATGGTATGTTCTATACAGAAGATCAGACTAGGCGATCTAATGGTCCTTTTGGCCTCAAACTCTGCAATTCTCTGCTTCTCTAAAACCAGGACACACTCGGCTGCTGTCTCAGCTGGGTCATGACCCCGGCAATATCCGCGTCAAACCTTCGTGGCATCTGGACAGGGTCCTGGTTTGGTAAGATGGGTTTGGGCAGCTGCCCCAGTGTTTTGCCCAGCAGGGAGACACGCTACAGAGGGTGCGGAGAAGGGGAAGCTTTATTGGAAGGGCTTTCGGACGCCAGCCAGCCACAGGCTGTGACGCAGACAAAGCAGATACAGAGCAACTCAAACACTGCCACCGCCCGAGCAAATAGAGAACGGCAGTCCCATCCCAGCTAGCAGAGAGATTTGTCCAGGGGATTGCACAGGGAACCCACAAACAAAGGAGTTTGGACAGAGGCAGAGAACCCATGAGACACTCAGAAATAAGGAGGATTCATGGTGAGAGACAATCTGCAGTTATATAGCATGTCCCATATCCTGCCATTTTACAAGGGGAGGAAACTGAGGCATGGTCACTCAGGGGTGGAGAGGGGATTAGAACCCAGGAGTCCTGGCTCCCCCTGGCTGTCACCCACTAGACCCCATTGCTTTCCCAAAGCCAGGGATAGAACCCAGGAGTCCTGGCTCCCAACTGCCAGGGATCTCATGCCCATAAGACTCTGCTCCCTTTCTAGAGCCAAGATTAGAGCTCAGGAGTCCTGATTCTCAGCCACTAGACCAGTGATCCCCAAACTTTTTCAGTTGTGTCCCCCCGGAAGCCACGGTTGGGAGCCAGGGCCGGGAGCGAGGCCAGAGCCAGTGGTTGGGGCCGGGAGTCACGGCTGGGACCAGGTCCGCAGTGTGGGCTGGAGCCAGCACTGCAGCTGGGGCAATGGTCAGGGGCTGGAGCTGGGGCTGGGGCAAGGAGCCGGAGGGCCACAGCTGGGACTGGAGCTGTGGCCGGGGCTGGAGCTGCAGCTGAGGGCAGAGTGGGGCTAGGTGGCACTCCCTTCCTGCCCCCCTGGGGGCTGGCCTGGGCCCACCATGCCCACCGCACATTCCTCCATGCCCCCCACGGGGCATGCCCCACAGTTTGGGAACCACTGCACTAGACTCCACTCCCCTGACTCCCACCCCCACCCCCACTTTATCTGACTATATTGTCCCCAGGCTCTACAGATGGATAGAACTGTACATCCCCATAACAAGTTTATTAATCACAGTGAATCAGTGAACGTGGGCAGGTTTCACACCAGGAGCGTGAGTGGAGAAAGAGTGGACGGGGGGGGGGGAGATCAGGAGGAGGAAGGGAAGAAGGGAGAGGAAAAGA